GCGCAATTTAATCTGTCTGTTGTTAACAAAAGAATATGCAAACTTAACTGTTAATTATTTTTTCACCGTAGATATCGCTTTTTTAAAAATTTTAATTAAGGTGAGAACAAATCAAGTTGGAAAAATAAGGGCTGAGAGTTAAAGGATGAAAACAAAAACACTCGTTTAGTTATCAAGCGTTCGATTCGATTTTTAATTATACAGTTTTTCGATATAATTATTTATCTTGCAACGTTTCGAGTGGAGAAAAATTTTTTTTCCAGTTACTACATAACGTGAGCTCCAGTTAAATTAAAATTGAAAATCCTCTTAAGGATTAGTGGGAAATTTGCAGACTGTACGAAGTATTCAAAGTAAATTACAAAACGTAATATTCAGTGATTAAGAGAAATCGTGTAGTTCCTTTTTTCCAGTGAAATTCATCGAAATTCAAATCTGATACAAATAAAGATGAAAAGATTTTCACTAAAATTTAATTTTTAATAATGAACATTGCTGCCAATGTTGTAGTGTTATTGTATAAGTTAATACTGTATAAGCTTAATTAACAAAATTAATTGATTTTGTATTGTACAAGCTACAAAATTAAATTTTCAGCTCTGTTTAAATTAAATCTGTTTAAGTTGATTGTCGAAATTACACAAACGTTTGATTTCAATCAGACTAAAATATCGTCGCGTCAAACAATACGCGAGCTTCAAACGTCGTGAAAATACATGGCTAAAATATCACGGTGAAACGACATTTCAGTTCATCCAACATGTGGAACTCGAGAGGGGGATTATTTACAGAACATAACCCTACGAATAAACGAAGACAATTTCACTACTCCTGCTTCCACAACTCGCATTAATCACAACTTGGGCAAACAACTAAAATTAACCAAGAGAGAGAAAGAGAATACTCTGAGACCAGATGACCCAAAAGATCATCCAAACATTCGGAGAGACTGCGGGGAACATGACCTGGTCCTCGACCTCTTAAAACTGATAAACTCCAACGTCCACGATCTACGAGTCAAAGGATTCAATCTAGGAATCCTATCCTGGAGGAGAAACATGGCAGAAACTTGGCATTTATTGCGCCACGATCAAAGGGATTAATCGAGATAAATATCACAGATATGAATCAGAAACACAGCACCACAGTGCAAAGACTTGGAAATTTTACCAAAACTAAATCTCAGAATCGTGATACGATCTTGATACGATCTTGTACAGTTAAATCGAGGAGCGTGGTTCTATTGGGACGATCAAAGTGATTTATTCAGTGACAGCTACTGCGTCTCTCGACAAAGTTACTGAAATCACAGAGCAAAAGCTTTCTACAGTTGAGTCTAACTCGGACGAAGTGTAAAATATATCAAAGCAATTACAAAGGAGTTGATGATGAGTTTATTACTTCTTAATAATATCTATCCACAGATGTGAAAAGAAAAAGACAGCGACGAATTGCTGTATACGGTTCGGTCACTCGTTATGGTCCGCGAACTAGTTGCCAGCGCAAGCGGTTAAAATCGTACGATTCTGTAAGAGTTTAATATTAATATTAAATTAAACGAATTCCTCTACTTTGACAAGACTCAAGTGTACTAATTGTAAGAATACTCGACCGAAGAGAAATACTAATTGCAAAGTATCAATTTGCTAATCAGAATAAACTATGCTCCGTACAGATGCTCGTCTCACCTATTTTTGCATCCTGTACGTGTCTAGAGTTCTAAATTTCTCGCTATTACGAGACGAGCGAGACGATTTGTGTGTCTTTTCAAAATCAAACGCAGAGAAGTGAGTTTGAACCTCGTCGTGGTCACTCCCAAGATCCTCGTTTCGCCGAAGCACGCTGTGAATCACATTTCTCAGTTTGTCCACGAGTCTCGTAGCTGTACGGCTCCGATATCATCAAGGTCGATATCTCCAGACCTAACCTTGGAGATGTGGTTTTCCAACCGCTCGTGTGCACTCGCGTTCATTATAGTTCCCTCTCGTCGCGTTTGCGGCCACTGAAGTAACACGCGCTCGCTGTGGGAAACACAGTCTCGGTTATCAAAGCCATCGTCTGGCTTTGGAATTTGCAACGAAGACGCACCAGGTAAGAATCGCCAACAGAACGCGAGACGTCTCGCCTTTGTGAAGGCGAATGTTGTTTGTGTACGATTGAGGACCATTCAAAGAAAAGTTTTTCATTCAGTCAGTCATTTCTCGTCTAACTCTCTTTTTTTTGTGAAATTACATCCACTTTATTTTAAAAGAGCAGATAAAACATTTCCTTTGCCACGCATCTATTTCATAAAATTATCGTGTCCTTTACAAACAACCGGTATACCGTTTGCAAGAATTATTATTATATTTCCAAATCATATTTAATTAGTAACCTATCCTTTTCCCCCTCTCGTGTAAATTACAGCAATGTTTCTGACAGTTGTTACAAAGGGAATCTTTAATTAATCAGTGTAAGAATTATTATTCAAGTACATATAATTTGTCAATAATGTGCCCTAACATCGAACTATATGTATCATTTTTCGTACAAATAAAAATTATTTTCCCTCCTCTCGTGTAAATTACAGCAATGTTTCTGAGTTATTATTGAAGGAAACTGATCAAAAGGAATTAATTAATCTTTAATTCATCAGTAATTTCCGCAACAGATTTATCGTTCACCTTGTCGACGATTAATTCGTTTTATACGACCCGGAATTAAACGTTTAATTACACCTGTCTCGTAAAACTACATTAACGACCCTATTTACCATTTTATTTCAGAGCTACCGAAAGCTTCTATCGCTTAAACTCTGTTTCCCCACGATTTCCCTCACGGGCAAACGAAACTCGTCATAAATATCTTTACGAAACGTCGCGTATTTTCTAAGCCCTTCACCGTTCACAAATCCGAGAAAACCACTTCGTTACTCGGAACTAAAATCTTTTAACAATCTCGCGTATTATCTGAACGGCCGTGCGTGTTTATTGTTCCATCATATTTGCGTTTTCATGGCGGGAACTGTGCCACGGGAGAGAATTTATCGCATTCCTGGAAGAGAATGTTGGCGGATTTCGTCGAGAGTCACGGGAGGATATTAATCATCGCCTGTGCGATGATTCTCAATAATTCAAGTTAAACTCTGCTTGATAATCCTTAATCATTCAAGTCACTGAATTTATTTAAAAAAAGAAATAAATTTTCTGCAAGAAATAATGGAAAATTGCACGTGAAGGAAATTTAAATGTTTTCGGGTAAAGAAAGTCTTGGAATTCTTGTATTTATAATATTCTGTGCTATATTATCGCCAAAATTGTTATATTACTACCAAAAGTATATATTTGTTATTTAAATAATAAAAATAATATTTATTTAGTATTTTTTTATATTTAATATTTACTTGAATAATAATTTATTGTATCGAATTTCAGACGAGCTCGAGAAACTCTCGCGTGAAACATTCGTTTGCTGGAAATGTCGAGCTGAAAATTCGCAACACGTGGCGAATCAGTTTTGCGATACCGTTACGCTCGAATTAACCTTCAACGCATAAAGTTAATTAATGTAATTAGAACGGCTGTTTGTTCCCTTATTCCCGGCAAAGCAAGATTCCACCACGCACCTCGAATCCCGAATGTTATTCACCATGTCTTTTTACATTCATTTTTCTCGTTACGTCGACTATTTTGAACGTGTGTGTATTTACACGGCCCGCTTTGTTGCAACAAACAAGCGAGACTAATGCCTTACATAGAGATTCACGTAGACAAAGCAACAAAAGTAATTTTTTACTCGCTTCCAATTCCCAAGAGACGAAATTTCATTTTCCCTCGGTTTGCTTTTAGGCGTCAAAGAATTGCACTTATCATGCAATTAAGATTAATTAATTCTTAGATTAAGAATCGAATAATTTCAATTGCTAATCGCAAAAGTGTTCGAAGAGTATGAGAAATTTTTCTGAACGTATCTCTGGAAGAACATGGCTGTTGTGCAAAATTGGAAATTTTCGCAACACTCTAACGAGATACGAAAATCATGATTTGAAACCGCGTGCATGTACAAGACGATTATCGATCGTATTTTGCACGTAATATATTATACAGTCAATTATATCATCATCAATCACAATTTTAACAAACGTATGACTTTAAACTTATATCATGATTTTTTAAACCATGCATTAGTAGTTAATAATTATTTCGGAGTGTATTTGTATATTTCAGACTATTGTTTGAGCTATATATTTTTAAATTTTTTATTCATTGCATATTTGATATAAATTTATTAATGTCGTCTGTCGATTTCAAATTTAACAATCATATCTAATTATATTTTCTATATCAATGTAAAATTATTAAATCACAATCTTGACAAACATTTTAAATATTTTATGATTTATGATTTTTTGAACCATTCATTAGTAGTTAATAATTATTTCGGACCATTTGTTTATTTAAGACTATTGTTCAAGCTATATATTTTTGAACTTTTTATTAATAACATATTTGTTTCGTGATATATTATATATTTTAATTACAAATTTGTCGTGACTTCTGTATAAATTTTTACACCGATTTCAAATCTAACAGTCTCGTTGCAACATTTCTTACGATTAATGTAGAATTCTTACTACGACATTTCCCGTGATCAATATGAATCTGTACCAAGTGCAGATAACGTAACATAATCGTACGGTTACACAACGAAAATGTGCATACAAAAAAAAAAAAAAAAAAAAACACCACCGTACATTCGTCAAAATGCGTTCGTTGCAACGAACGTTCGAGTAGTTTTCCAGAATGCCGGAATTCAATCGAAAAAAATTTCCGCGAATTTCACTCTGGAAATTGCATTTCCCCGCGCGCCTCGCGCACAATGCAATCCGGCAATTCGCCGTTTATAAATCACTGGGAAGCACGTAGCTTTAGGAAATCACGAAATCGCGTTTCGCGCGACGCGAAAAAATACGCGAAAAAGGCGTTCAAGTTCGATTCAAGACGCGACGTCGGAAATTTCAGTCGAGAGACGGCGCGCCGACGTACGTCTAAGTCGCTTATGCAAGAGGACAATATACTCTGCATTGCAAATGCAGATTCACTTTATTATGCGTTCACAATAGCCCGGCTGCCTAACGATGCTAACCGGAGAGCGCGCATATTTTAGAGACGGAGCGTGGTCGCCCGCTTGGAAAAATCGTGGCTTCCGGTTTGCGAGTATCACGCGACTGATGTCGAGTCTCTAATGTGGAAAAATTATTCGTTATTATTATTCGCGGTCAGTTTTCGTAGCTTCACTCTGTCAGCTTCGAGATCGTTTCATCCACTTTCGCGACATTTCCTCTTTTGCAGTATTGCTGCTGCTGATGTTTTGCCGATTTTCATAATTTCTTACGACTTGAGCTAAAAACAGTCACAGTTTGTCGCATTTCACACGACACTGATTAATCTTTGGTGTAATTTCCAATGAAAATATATATAACAAATAAATAGACTCTGTAAAGGTAATGAAAAGACTCTATAAAAAAAAATAATTTCTTGAAATACAGTCCACGATTTCACAACTGAATATAATAATATATAACATATTATAATAATATTATATATTATATTATTATATTACTATATATTATAAATAAATTTAATAATATTATTATATATTATATAATAATTATAATAACAAAATACAGTAAATCGATTATATTCAAGAGACACAATCTTCCGAAATATTAACAACTCGCAATTTCTAATATATCTTCACGAAATTCATTTAATGAAAATATAACAAATGAAGGAGCTGTATGTACATTTTTAAGAAATACTGAATTTTCTGAATTACGTGTAATTTCAAAATTGCTCGACTCGGTCGGAAGTTTGAAACAGCTACGCATTTTAACAGTTTGCGAACGTTTAAATTTCGACGAGAATACATCGTGCTCACCGAAAATCGGTCGAAAAATTCTCTTTCATTTTCAAGAGAGCTTTCCCTCTGAACCCACGATACGTTTACACGACGCTAAATTACAAGATAATGCTAAGCTACTTATGGTTTATCTAATTCGAATTACCATAAGTAGGGAGTAGTCTTTTCTACCGGCATCCTATAAAAGAATTGCAGCAGAGTTTCAATATTTTATGCAGATACTTTCCACAGTGTTTAACTTTGCATTTTGAAAGCTTCTTTAACTGACTACTTTCTCAAACAAGGCGGAACTTTTTAATCCGTACTCGTACTCTCCTCGTTCCGGTTTACAGTTTAGTTGTTTGTCGTTCTTGTTAGATCTTGCCATCTTCTAATCGCCACGCTAATTCATTTCAGATCGAACTCGGACATTAATCGAACAATATACGATGGAAAATTGTCAAAAATTTAAACATAACTTTAATATTCCGTTCTAAACTAAAATTATACTTATACTCTACTCTGAACTAGAATTACAAACTAAATTCTGAAAAATAAATCGTACAACAATTCAGGTTCGTTTGAATCTGAAATACCTAAATTTTCCGCGTGAAAATCAATTTCTCTATTTGCAAAACAAGGACGACAAACCGGTCAAAGTAGTTCGATTGAAACTGACTTATCCACATCTAAAAAAAAAAAAAAACAAGAAGAGTCAATTCCTCCATTTCTAAAATAAGGACAAAGTGATTCGTTACTTTACACTTCGCAATTTATTTGTTATTTCTCGAGTTCCTAGTAAATTTTTCTCTCCACCATATTTCCCGAATCTCCGCGCCTATCTTCACTCTGTCTGCCTCAGTCGCTGACCTCTTTCCCCCCCCCCCCCTTCCCTGCTGCTCTATCAGCTTACGGTAGCGTTTACCGTTTGTCCAATTTCAACTCCACGTCACGTTCCCATTCCGTTTCCACTTGTAATCCCTTTTTCCGACCCAACTCTCTAATTGTGCCGTGTTTCCAGCGAGGAAACATGCACACGGCCGTGCCGGAAGATCGGCACCTTACTTCGGCACCATACGCATTACGAATTTTATACGTGCGCGAAAGTCTTGAAGCGCGTTGAAAATGAATCAGAGAATGGAAGACTGATTGCCCGTCGTAATAAATTTCAGTAATTGGAAAAGAAATCGTTCCTCTTTGAGGAGGAGTATCATTTGTTCGATTTGAAGGAAAATTGCAATCGTAGGAAATTTCGTAACGGCCAGAATTAAACGGTGATTAAAGGGTGATTAAAGCGAAAAATTCCCAGTCGGAGTTGTTGAAGTAAAGCGAATAAAGAACTTTATGATACAAACGAAGTTTAAACGCACCGAGATCTCATACGTTTTACGGGAAAAATCATTTAAATCTCCAAAAACATACTGTTCTGCATGTATGAAATTGACAGTAATAATATTTAATGTGTTCTTTCAAGAATACACATCACTCGAGCCAGTAAATTAAATCTGTAGCGATCGAGGGGAGAAATTCAATGGAAATAGCTTCAAAGAATCTGTAAACGAGTTAGGTAATCATTATCTTTTTTTAAATCGTGTCGCGAGCAATCTTTGTTAAAACATTAACACGCTCTGTTTTAATTAGATCGCTCGATAATATATGTGTTTCACAACGCGCAATTAAACGAATATAAACAATTTTACAAGAAGAAACTTCCATCATCCTAATCAAACCGTGAGCCGGTTTAAAATGCAAAAACTTGCCCCTCGGTGAAAAATTCTTCATCGTTGGGGCGAGCGTTCACGTGTGTTAATGCATAATGCGGGATTATAAATTGACGTTAATTGCCCCGAGACCGTGCCCCTAACTATTACAAAAAACGCCAAAGGTATGACCTACTTAAGCAGCCAGTTACAGTTAATTAAAAGTTACGGGCAGAAAGCAATATTGGAAAAGAAGTTTGCTATCGACATTCATTGCGCGCGTTGTCCATCCTCGGATTGCTTCGCTCTGCTACGATATCCCTTCTTTCCTCTATGAAAACTGAAGAAAAAAAAAAGAAAAAAAAATAAAATAAAATATCCGATCGTTTCGAAAAATTATTTCCACAACGTGATTTAAAAAGGGGATCTCTCGTTTCGGTACAGAAATCCGCTCGCCCGATTTAAACGAATTTGTAAAAGTAACAAAGCAGTAGAGTAATAACGTGGAATAACGTACAATTTTACAAAACTGTGAAACTTGTATCAATCGAAAGGCTGATTGAAATTTGTATCGAACCTCGAGAGAAAAAGTGTCGCAAGCTCCGAGAGTTCCGAAAAGAAATTGGAAAATTAATTATTTCCTTCGTTATTTCCCAGAGCTGTGTTAATTAAATACTTCCCCGTAAACGTTTCTTTCATTCAAATCGCCATTAATTCCTCTAAATTCCTTCCACTTATTCCCGCCGCTCGCGAATAAAACGCCGTTCGTGTCGTTCAAAGGCGAACAATTCAACTTCGAATTATTCGTATTATTCGTAGTATCCGGGAAATTTATTTGGTAAAAATCGGCTCGGTCGGTGAATCGCGACTAATTCGTTCCGTCACAAAACGAACGGATTGAAGGAGAATCCCGCTCGCGTGTTTACGCCGACCTTATCAATGGGAATTCCATTCGACGATGCGTGAAACTCGCGCGAAAAAAAAAAAAAAAGAAGATGGCACGATCGTTATCCCTCTTTCCCTTTTTTCATCTCCGTTGAAATCCGCGTTCCATTCGACGACCAATCGGTCCAGTCTTTGCAAACTGCAAACCGAATTGATCCCGATTCTTTGTGCTTACGAACGAAACTCCCGTTTGCGTCTCCGGAAAGCTTTCGACGCTCTCGTTCCTGCTAATTTTGGAGAAACGAGCTTTCCTGAAGAAGAGAATCTACGTAATATTGCATACTCTTTCGTACTGTGTGCTATTCTTAACGTGTGGTATTAAATAACATGATGAATTTCGTGACATTTATCGTGTGGATAATTTTGGAACGATATTTTAACTGGTTATGAAGGTTATTTGAATATTTAGTCTAAAGGTATTTAAATCCAAAAATCAATCTAAAATATTTGATATGATACTGGTAGGAGCATTTGCGACGAGCAAACGTGTACGTATTTCACCGAAAGCATAAAAACAAATTTATTATTTGCTGAAATATTGGAAATTTTACGCACTCTGACGCGTCAAGTGTAGTCCAGGAATTTTTGCATTTTCAGGCTTCTCATAAATACAAAAAAGTTCCCAATTTTTTAACAATTGAAGGTTATTGAAATATTGAAATATTTAAGGTTAAAACATTATTCTTCATCCTGAGAACATTCGAGTACCAAGACTGACAATTCTCTAACAATAAATCTGAGACTGAACCAAATAAATAAGCAAGTGTACTCAAATAATTTCTCTGTGGTATTTTGAAGAAATTACCGTATAATTACAGCATGATTAATAAAAATGAATAATACTAAAATGATAAATTATATATATAATATATATAAATGATGATAATAATACAAAGTAATTGAATAATATTCAATATTTTGAGGAAGGTCAAGAAATTATTCTCCATCCCGAGAATCCGCAAGAATCAAAACTGAAAAACCTCCAAGTCTGAGACTGAACCAAATAAATAAATATTAAGTGACATGTAAATTATTTAAATAATTTTTCCGTGGTATTTCGAAGAAATTACGTAAAATGAATAATATTTTGCTCGTACGCGAAGCTCAAAGTGCAGCGTCGTCCCTCGTCATCCTTTCGTTATCCTGCAACTGATCCGCGGATGTTGCTACATGAACGGATGTCAGAAATTAGATCAAAGTGTTGCTAGTTCGGTGAAAGTCATCTACTACTGTGGATGTAACACGCCTCACATCATTATAGCCAGAGCTCGTAAAAGACGCTCGTGAACACGCAACATTAGATGTACGTATCGCACAACGATCAGTAATTGGACGACGTATGAAAACAAAGCCTCGAGCGTGGAAAAATTCATCTCTCGTACTCAATTGCACGAGAGAATATCCGTGCGCAACGTGTACCGCGGGCAGATAGCAGAAATCCGATCAGCTGCGGACGTGTGTTAAATTCAAACGGGAACAACCCAAGTGGACAAAC